CAAACAGAGGATCGCTGTCCCATACCATCCCCAGTGAAAGGCTTGAGAAACACAAACCATCTGGAGGCTATAGTGTGCACTCTCAACCGATCAAATATGGAGGATGTTTGTCTGATTTACAGGGCCTATTCCAGGCTGTTTGGACAACTCGGCTAAGGGATTGGTGCTTTAATTAAAGATAATATCAAGAGCTAATATGGCCCCCAAGACCCTGCCTATCGTCAACAGAACAACAAAGTCGCAGTTCTCTGGGTGTAGATGGGTGACTTAGCACTAAACTTCAGGAGCCAGTCTATTCATGATAGAGTGAAGAGTCGCTCATCAACACGCAATGCTTTTCCTCAGTCTTACGTAAGACCATCCAGGGGCCATCAGAGAGTGGTATTACAGCATACAGTGGAAACCAAAAGCTTGCACACACCTTGTAAAAAGACATATAATGCAACATTTGTTTTTTATCGGGTAATCCCCATCTCCCTCCCCCGCTCCCTAAATTGGCTCAGGAAGTATTAGTAGAAGTATTTGGTAAAGTTTCAGGGATACTTCCAAGCTTTGCATGGTGGTTGGCTGGATTTTGGGCCCATTACTCTGAGAGAACTGATGTAACGGGCGAGTCAGGTTTGTAGGCCTTACTCACACACACCAAGATCTAGGCTTTTTGTCGATTTGGAAGAGTCGTTTCCACCCAAGCTTTAACTTTGCTGATGTTTTGTTGCTTTCACAGTGCCCCCCCTTTCAAGAAGCCATCTTATTTATGAAGTGCATCAGTTCCTCCTGCAACAAATCAGGCCGACAACATGGGACTGCCACCCCCATGATTCAGAGTTGGGATGGTCTTCTATCGTACAAGCTTCAGCCCATGGTTGTACAGTGCTTTGAATAATGACACATTTTTACCAGCTTCAGCCAGCTTGTTTTCAAGATCTTTAAAAGATATTTTTATTTTGTTATTTTTTATTTTTACTCCAGACACTGAGGAAAAATGTATTATGTGTCTATTTACAAGGTGTGAAACTTTTGGTTTACCATGTACATCAATTTCATTCAGAGAACCAGAGCCAAAATATTGATTATTAATCATTATCAGCTCTAACAGTTATATATTTTTATTCACATATTCTGACAAAGTTATAATCCTTTCTCATTAAAATGTCATTTTCAAAAACGCTAACGTTTGTGTCCTTACTGTGAGTGGAATTGCAGTTGCTCTAGAACTGGAGAATGAGTCATTCATGTGGCTAATATCTCCACAGTTTGATTTAACAATGTTTTAAACAGGAATTTCCTGCAGGTCATTCAGGTGACGTGCCACAGTTAATGTTCTTTATCATTTCCCAACATTGTTCCCTCATCATATGTATACATTCATGTTGGATTTGGTCATGTGTTCAGGCAGACATATTTCAAGAACTTGAAATACCAAAGTAGTAGCGAAGTGTGTAAAAGTTCATTCTGAAGGTGCTTTACCATCTTTTGGAACCATTTTTAAGAGCGTTTTCTTTTGAAGTTGTTGAATCAAAATTGGGATTTTATAAATGCCTGTTGTTTCAAATCTTTTCTGCTGGAGCTTATGGCATTCTCCCATCATGAGTTCACAGTGGTGCTCCATCGCCTGGTGCCAATATCAACATGGCCTATCAAACTTATCACTGCCATGAATTATTACACACTCCTTTTAATCATAATAGTGGGGCTTTAATCTAAAAATATGATGGGCAGAGAATGAGACAGAGTTTTTTTTAATATTGGGCCTGTATTCCTTTTGCTCAGCACCACATCTCGGAAACATTGGGTCCCAAAATAGATGTTCTTCTCATAAAGGCCTTCTTCTTTGTAGTCAGCATACAGCAACAACATCTGCGGGGCAGTTTGTATGGGGGGAAGAGAATCGGGCAGGCTATCAAAGAGAGGCGATCTCCTGAGAAGTGGTGGGCGGAGGACTTCCATATCCCATTCCATCCCTTTCTGTCTCCATCTCTCGCTCTTCAAAAAAAAACTGCAGCAATCAGGATGATGCTAATAAAAGGTCATTAATATAACCTGTCAGGGCTATATTTGGAGGGTCCAATTTGAGATTATGCAAAAACGGGTTTTCACTGGTGAAAGGAGGTCTTCCAGAAACCAGGGCACCAACTAAAAACACCAAACTTCTAAATTGGTAACAAAACAAGCAACACAGGTATTATTTTTCTCTCAATTAGTCTGTTCTAGCCATCTAATATATCCTTCCATTTAATTTTAATCCTACAGAAGCCAAACTAGTACTCACACAGTACTAGTTTGTTATACCTGTGTCTGCATTGGTTTCCGGCCATTGCTCCGGCTTCCTCTACAACTTACAACATGTACAAGGGATAAAAACTAGACTTGAGCTAATTCTGGTGGATTTACAGAAGTAGATTCTTCCATAGATTAGGGCGAGGCGGGACTAAGGACCAAACCAAGATAATAGACAGAGGTCCTAAACAGAGGATTCAACATTACCGTTTGCAATTACCCTCATCCATCGACAAAAGCCGCAATGTAAAGGCCCCATTTAGACGGAGACGCTGCAGAGACGCTGTGGAGACGCTATGAAGCAATTCGCAAAAATGACCCTGTTCCCAATTCAAAGTGCACAGTGTCTACACGGCGACAGAAAACAATGTCCCTGGCCAGTAGTGGGCAGTGGAACTTTACAACATCATCAATCCTTCTCAGGCCACCGCAAAGACTTGAAAGAATGCACCAAGATCAGTCTGCATTTAACAGTAGCTGCGAAAATGGTTGCTGCAATTACCGCTTTGCATTTCCATTGTTGTAGTGGAATTGCTGTAACGTTCAAAGCACACATAGCATTAGTTAATCCACCGACCATTGTTATTTACGTTTGTCCTCGGCTACTGCGCATGTCCAATTGTACGTGCAGAAGTGGTGAGGTCATTGCAACCAGAAAGTTCACACCTTTTCGTATTGGTTTTGTTCCACTCTGGAGGCCATTTCTCAACGCTTGCATTTTCACCCCCCTGAAACATAGTCACCGTGTGAACGAAAGGCCAGCTCTATCCTTTTACTGTTGCAGCATCTCCGTGTAAACAGCCCCTAAAATGGTCTCCGTAAGCACAAGTATAACGGTGCAGATTTTGACACTTTAACTGATAAAAGGTGGCATCATCACAGGGAAGTGAAGCCAAAGGGGCAGGGTGATGACAGTAGCTTCATATGGTGCAGGGGTGCATCATAGCCTAGCCTTTGAACCGCTGATCCACTTAATTGAAACAGCATTGCCAGGGCATCGACTGAAGATCTGGACTGCATTCATCGCGCTTTTATTCAATTTTGTCTCTCCACATGTCCATAAGTCACAGCCTTCAGACCCACTCGCCCCTGGCCCCTGGACATGTTGCCCATCTGTGTCCCCTGAGGGCCTTGACTCTCACACAAAAGGGACTCCAACCACGACTTGAGAAACTGCAGTCGCCCAGCCTGCCACGGAGTCCTTTTTCACGCCTCTCTCCTTGGACTTGACCCTCCCTGGGATTTGCACACTCTCACACATACACACACGCATGCAGACTCGCCCCCCTGTTTGAAGATTTACTGTTAGGAGCAGTGGCTGACAGGTAGTTTGAACCGTGCACTTTCTAATTCAAACAAATGGGTCAGGGTATTATCATGGAGCCACAAGGTGTTTCGGATGACTCGCAAGTGCTGAGTGCTGATATGGAAGGAGAAAGGCTGCTCTTTGAACTGTAAAAAAGTTTTATCGATGGAAAGACAAAAAAGGAGCTTTTCACTACATACGGTTACAGTAGACTTTATTGTTCCTGTAGGAAAATATGTCTGCTGAATTTGACACATTCTTCCAATGGCACTTGAGCCTCTGTCAGGAGCAGTGGTTGCTGTAGTGCAAATGTTTAAATTCAACTTAATTCTTTTGGATTAAAGATGTATTGCATCTTTAAAAGAATGTTTTCACAGCTCACACACCGGAATTGTTTTATTAGGTCAGGTTTTCTCTCTGCAGAGGGGAAAATTAGCCCAATAATGTGACTTTGTATTTTGTTTAGGTAACATTTTGTGAACAAATCAGATCACATGCTGTCTTTTTCCCATAAACATTTCATTGTATACATGAGAGAGGATTGGCTGAGTTAGGTTGGTCCTCTCTTTGTCACTTTTCTATCTGGGGAATCATGTATAAGTACTAGTTACATATATTTTATCCCCATTTTTGTGTTAAGTCCATCGTTGCATGCTTAGACTTACATTGAAAACATATAAACTGACTTTTTGTGATTTTTTTTGCAGTGCTCAGGGAAAGTTTGTGAGTCAACCATGAGGAAATAAATAAACAAACACAGAGGTACATAAGCAAATGAACAGATAAACTCCAGATAGACATCAGCATCTTGTAGATCTCACGCTGAACATCTCATTTCGCAGAAGAATGGTCAGCCTTTGTTGTCACTGCTTTAATCGGTGCCCTGCATGCACCAGCTCACAGTTGGATTTAAGCCTTTGGAGGCATGTTGTAAAGTTGATATGATAGCCAGGTAAAGAGTAAATAAATAAATATTCAGCAATCTCAATGTGCATTCTTGTAAGACATGAGACAAATTGATTTTGATGCTTACAGCTGCTGTAGGTTACTATAAACCTGTTCTAGCCAGATTGCACTGCTCTACCGCCCATACAGCAGATATACAGACAGCCAATACAAAATACACATTTCATAGTAAATACGAAATGATTTTGTGACTGAATTTCCCATCCCAGAAGAGAGAACGTTTGGCTGTTTTTTGTATTTTTTGTTCTCCATATTTCTTCTATATGAATAGTATACAGATTATTTGGGTAATTGTTGTAAATTAGAAAAAAAATACATACAGCTGAATGCCCTAAATAAATAGTCACAACGGGACCTATGGATGAACCAAAAAAGCTAAAAATAACCTTACACCTGTAGTGACCAAGAAGCTAAACTCTCTCTAAATCTCAAAGACAACATTTCTGGCGGAATGGGGATTTGGAGAGGATCACTGTACGATGGAGGGAGGGACTAAAAGTGTGCATAATAATTCCTTCCTTTCTGGGACTCGCTGTGAGCAGGTATAGGCGCATCTCAGCACTGCTCCTCCAGCTGTCTCGCTCCCCCTGCCTGCGCTCCGTACAGCTCTCGCTCAAGTCCACTAAGGTAAGTTCAAAGTTGTTTAAGTCGTGAATGTGCATGGAAGGATTTGACAATGCCTGAGCGTAAATGCATGCGGTTAAGTGGAGAACAGACGCGTTTGAATTTAGAAGTATAGTTCACAAACTTTTTATTCAAGTCTCCCCCTTTGGAATTTGCAATGAGTAAAGTGCGTTCTTTTGCGTTTTGCTTTCTCATACCTTGCAGACATTCGCCATAGTGCATTGAATCAGCATTAGATATCAGCTCATATGATGTAAAATACTTGAAATTATAGATATCACTATTAACGCACGAGAATGATTAGGTATAAATTCACGCTGAATTCCCATTGGGCGCGTTTTCCGCTACGTGATCCATGCATGTGAATGGGGAAAGTGATTTGCGCATTATTCACGTTGTATGCCAGGGCTTTTTGAGGCTGTTAGAGCCTTTTTAAAGAGAGCTGAACATCTGCACGCATTGAGGCACTGGCATATCATTTCTGCAGCCTGTCAGCAGCTGCACTGACTCGCTGCTCCAAAAGACTTTACATATGAATGGGGGCAGAAGGAGGAGGGACATAACACAGAATCATGGCAATGCCCGTAGACATTTAAAAATAAATAATGAACTCTCAAAGCTTTAATTCATTCAGTATACAGTATATACAGTATACATGTGAAAGTGATAATGTATTAAAATAAATCTATTTACTTAGGCTGTATTCTATTATTCATTCATCCAATCCGAGCTGGACTTGGGGCAGCAACGTGCATATATTAGAACATTTCAAAGCTATTTTTAACTAATATTTCTGACAATCATAAATTATTAATTGGTGATAAGTTGCAAATATGATCCAAAATTCAATATATGAGATATGATCAACAACTTAAAAGTTGTATGCATGCCTTCATGTCTATATTTGAATATTGTATCATATTTTACCAAAGTAAATTCCTAGTTTGTTTTATTCCAATGGCCATGCAATATATCAGTTAGCCCCCTGCATATTTAAAGGCTTAGGGTTTTTTATATTGTCTTGTTTTCAACCATCCCTTCTATAAATTAACAAATTCACATACAAAACAATTATTATATGAGTATTATTTTATAATTACATTTTGAAATAACACATTCTTACATTTACCATTTTTAACATGTAATAGCTAATGTATTACTTGTTAATCAGCAGTCTAAAATGATTATATAAAATGATATATAATAATGTTTAAAGCACACATGTTTAAGTGTAACCAGCGTGTGTTTCATAGTTTATAGGAGACTTGACGTTTGTTGATCCCTTGGCCAGGCGCTTCTCCTGTTGTCCACCATGTCCACCATGAGTTACTACATGGATCCAGTTTCTTCCTACTCGCCCCTTCACCCCTGCGACCGTCTGGGTGCACTGGTAAGACCATCCTCATAAATTATTGCCATCTTAACAGGCGCTGGGCGACCTACCACAGGGCCCTAAGCTCTTGATCCATGTGTAACTATTTGAATCTGTGTGCATGGACTGCTTCTGTTTTCATGCTTTAGCTTCTGGTGTCTGTCATTGACTCTAGTCTGCATGTCCTCAAGCTGAGACTTTAGCTGGGATTTACTCTGGTTTCCCACAGTTCCGGATCATAGTAAATGAGGTGGGTTTGTGGCTGTAAAGTTCCTCGTGAGAATAATTTAGTGAATGTCGGATCATGTCTCTTTATTAGCCAACATTGACGTTTGCAACCATAATAACTTGAATATATGATGAAACGTCCAGAAAAACAAATGAATGACTGCCGGTATCTCATCATCAGCCCAATTGTCTATTCATTAAGGGTTGAGTCCTGGTTTGTTCCTGTTTTCAGCTTGTGACTGTTTTGACCACATCATTGAGTCTTGTTTTATGTAAAAAGAGATCTATGCTTTTACATCAAACACACGTCTATGTTGCAATTATTGTTGCTTCAAGTACTTATGTCTAATCATCCCAGTATGACAGATTCAAAACATAAAATTGGAACAAAGTAGGCTAAATAAGCAGGTAAGTAAAACACAAACTGGATCAAACCATTTCTACTCCACTTATGCTGGCATATAACCAAATATTACTGAGACAAGGCCAGCAGATGCATTTAAGAGCACAACAAAAAGCTTATATTAGATATACAGTACAGTATACAGTATGTAGTTGGATGCAAAGGCAACTCACACTTGGTGTTCATAGAAATGAAGTACACAGTCCCTCACCACACACGTGTTCCATTGTTTTGTTTTTGTTTCATTACATGAGGAAGCATGATGAATTTAATTGTGCTGCAGTTTAGCATGTGAGAAAATCAGATTCTCAAAGTAAACACAATATTTGCCAAAAATGTGTTTGTATTTATAATAGCATTTTCTTCTGCTCAAGCAAAGTAATGAGAAGCCTTTTAAAGCAGCATAAACCTCGATCGGATAAAAGGTATACAGCATGTAGACCAAGACCAGATTGGTCAGACCGGTTTGGAAGAAATACAAACTGTAGTCTGTTTTCTATTCATTCTCTCTATACTTATATCACAGTATCATCAAACAACTTGTTTTTTGTTTAGATCTGAGAGATTAGTCCAACAAAGAAATTATGTCCCAGTACATCATGTTCCTCATCGTAAAACCAGTGTTAAGAAATAAAGCTGACGAACGCTGTCTTACTCTAGTAGAAGGGAAATTGCCCTTTTGAACTTTTGCTTGTATCTGCTATCTCTTCTTTTGCTCATACAGATGTAAACATCAAGAACATTTTGTGATTTATCGCACCTTTAACCAATTGTATGGAGTCTGGGTACAAACGGACTCTTGTGAATACTTCTCACAGCCGTGCCACATGCACAGTGCTTTGCCCCTGCAGAAGCCCGCTTGCCTGAACACTATACGGCGTGTTAAATACTTCCAAATGAATCAGTCGAAAAGAGACTCGCCGGTAGCTGGGAACATTGGGATTCTTGTCAGGTGAGCATTTGAAAGGTGAAGGCCAAGGAGCGACAAAATAAATTCCTCCATTTGTATGCAGAGCTGTGGCACATTAGGATAAGAGACTGGGGTTATATGTAAATGGCAACCCTACCCCAGCCGGGTAGAACAACAGCAAGAGATCCAGCATCATAGCCCCTAATTGGCTCAGGTGCTTGGGCTTGGCTTTAAAATTGAGACTACAACATACCATGGATACATCGGGCAATAGGTGAATTAGGATTGTCAGAGTTATCATCAAAGAGCAAAGACTGAGATGCAAAAAGTTTGAGTGCTTCAGCTTTGTTATGCTGATTCTTAAATGTGAGATGCTGCCAATCGGCTGTTTAAAAGCAAACATTTATTTCATAGAACAGAATTATGTGTACACGAAGACTGAGTGACAACCAGCAGTAGTTAGCTATGTTTATAAACGATGATCATCACTCTTTATTATTATTATGAATTACTAATGAAACATGTAAAAACTATTCATTAACCATGATCTCATCACAATCTAGGCATAGAATCATGAGTTAATGGTTAGTTAATGGTGTGTACATGATAAGTTCATGATGAGTTTATGTTCACTGTGAAACGTATGGAAGTAATTAATTCATTAACTTGTCTTTGTTTAATCCATAATGCGGGTATGGAAATAGTATGGCACAACTGCTAATCTACCAAGACTCTACTGTCTTCCCAATCTCACAGTTTAAACAAAGACAACACTGATCACAGTTTCAGACAAGAGGACAGGATTTACTCTGAAGGAGGGGTCTCCAACCTGTATCTCCACAAGTAGCTCGCCACCCCCTTCCAGGTAGCTCACCAAATCAAATAATACACTTAATATTTCAGATTGTATTATTCATATCATTATTTATTATTGTGAAGACACTTACTTTGTGCACTAGTAACACATATGCAATGATAAATAATGACTGTAAGTAAGTAAACTTTCACAGACTAAAGTCACAAAGTGCTTTACAAATGTGGGCATTTGTGTCTCACTCCACACAGAGATGAGAGTAGGGGCACCTACAGGAGGCACATGCCAGTCCTATTGTACATGTTTTTACTGGTAGAGGAAACCGGAGCACCCGGAAGAAACCTACACAGAAACAGGGAAAACAGACAAACTCCAGTCCAATATCAGGCTTGTTCACACCATTATACCACCACATTTTCCCATGGCTGCTTAAAGGAGTAGCTCTCTGCCTTTCTCGACCCGGAAAAGTAGCTCTATGGGTGAAAAAGTTTGGAGACACCTGCTCTTAAGGAACTAAAGACATTCAGCTTCTTCTCACAAGCTGTTATCAGTTCAAACAAAGCACTGTACTGATCTTGCACTTGTATTGAAACTGTTTTTGTTGATGGATTACACAGTGAAAATTGCTTTTTGTACTTTTTTAGCTTGTTTTAGTTTCATATATCTGTCTGGTGCACAATGGGTTACTTTTGAATTATGTATTCTAAATAGCAAATAAAATTAATCTGAATTTGAAGTTAGAACTAAGTACGTATATGTACACTATTTCAAATGTAATTGTATTGAAGTTATTCTTATTCCCATAATTGAGACATTTTAAACATACAGAATATATAAAAGAGCATCACAATCGCAATGTCCTCCAGAAATAACACATTTGGATATAGTTTGCATAAAAGTTGCAGCCCTAGTTAATAGCACAACTTTGATAAAAAATAATATGAATGTTTGCAATCAACATCAGGATGAGTTCAAACAAGCAAAGTAAATGTGTGTCTACTTTCAGCGGCAGAGCGGAGGAGTGGCAGGACCGCACGCCCAGATGCCAGCAGTGGTGCACCCCCAACAGTGCTACCCCTCACAGCCCATGTGCCTCCTGGACGTCCCATCACAGGAGGTGCCAAATGGACATGACTTGTGCACTACAGGTAGGACAGGCTGCAAGTCTGAAGTAAAAACTGTGGTTGTGTGATTATAATCCATCCTTCTCAGCTGTATCTTCAACATATTTGACCCAAAGCTCTTTACTTCCTTCTCAGAATATAGCACAAAGATGATTTTTAATTGAGATACTGTGTTACTGTTGAATTGGATTTATTCTTTATTAAAACTACATTGTACCAGATGCCTATAATATTTATGTTTCTGATTTATGATTCTAGTACCAGTAAATTATCCAATCAGAGAGCAGAATGAGTCTCTCATTTGGGTTGCAGTTTGAAGGTGGTTTCGGCTGTTATCTTTTTGTTAACAAAATTAACACAATTTATGAATAAAAAAATAGCACCACACATTTTTTTAAAGGAAACCAGAGTTTGTATTGTTCCTAGCTAAACCCCAGCAGGTGGATTCCATCAGTAATCAGTGCATAGGAGCAATATTTTCCACAAGTAAGACTAGTGTAAAGCAACATTGTGCTTCTGAATAGAATATACAGATAGTAATTGGATAGCAATGTATGATAATACAATGGAATAATTTATTAGTAAAAAATGCATTGTTAATAACTTACAGTCAGGGTGTTATGACGTTGACGGTAATGCTTCATTTTATAAAGACTTATGCGAAACAATAAACACAATTGAGTTACTTACTGGAACGCTAAATGCATTATGAGTCATGCACACTTTCAAAGAGACACACATATTTTGAGTTCCTCTTTTGACCCAGTCTTACGTGCCCTCAGTCCAAACTGTTATTGTGTGTCTTCTGCATGGGGGCTGCCACTGACCCAGAGGCCAATGTCTTCACCAGACCTCCACTCCCAACTTTCTGCTTCTGTCTTTGGACATTACATTCTTGCCCTATCAAATCTCTGCATAGTTTCTAGCTCCTTAATTTGTTTGTTTGTCCCTAAAAGTAATTGAATATTGCAAGTTTGCGGTACATGCCAGTGGAATATATTGTGTTGGGGGCACAAGAATGTTTTCCGTCACCTCCCTAAGTAAGATGTAAAAGACAGCCATCTTTTTCCCAAGCTTCTCGTTTGGTCCCTAGAGAGATAGAAGGGGCCTAAATTTGTTTTAAGTGTGTGAGTGCTTGCGTGTATGTACGGAGCGAGTGAGGATTTGATGAGATTTGCTCATGTTTGTTGCCACGGACACACTCCTTTGGAAAGTTGCTCCCAGCGCAAAACTGTGGACATAAACATAGCTTCAAGTGGAAAAAAACGACCCAATGTTAACCCTTTTCTCAGCCTCCTAACACATGTACACTGTATAGATAAAAAACAAAAACAGATACAGTGGTTTTATTGTAATTTGCATTTCAACTGATACAGGTGAAAAGGAAACTGAAGTGTTAAAACATTATGAGTCAGCCACAATGTAAGCAATAATTCACAGTAATATCTCAAACTGGTTCACCCTGTTTGTCACAATTCCCCATTCTCATGAACTGAGCGGTTTGCCTCCAAATTAGATCTAGGTATTTCTCCTGTAAATTGATATTCTATTCATCTGTGTTCCTTCCAAAACTGCTTTTCATGTTTGATGTTTACAAAAATAGCATCATTAAATATCCAACTTCTACCACTAGAGGGAGGTGTTTCACTAAACTGCAAAAAAAAAAAAAAAAAAAAAAATATATATATATATATATATATATATGATTTGCCAATGGGACAAGGCCATTTAGTCTTATTTCAAGAATTGTTGCATTTATTTACTCATTCCAAGGGAGATATTTCTTGTATCTTTTTAAAACAAGATAATTTTGCTTGTCCCATTGGCAAATCTTGTTTTAACCTTTCCCATGTCTGTGGTGTGTGGAGAGAGAGTCCAGCTGTGAAAGAGATGTCAAATACAGTGTGGCTGTTGCATGTTTGGCTCTGAGCCCAATGTCACACAAAGCTTCCTGACAACAGCCATCCGGCGTGTATTGTGTTACGGCATCCTCCCATTCACTTTGGCAGAGCGGCTCCCAAGCTCTCACGAGTTCACTGTACATTTTCAAATTCCCATTTACGGACACAGCTGTGATCTGGCACTCAGGGACCATTGGTTTTATTTGATGTAATTTGACAGCTGGACAGTGAGAGAAGGAGGGGTGTGATGTAGTGAGTGGGTGGGTGTACAGTTCTTTAGGATGGATAAGAAACATTTCGGGACCAGGACAGGCGGAGGAGGATCCCAAGCCTCGCAGCCTGGAAAGGGGGACACAGGCCGGGGTTGTGGGCTCTGATGAGGGGCACGTCCTCTCGGGTGCAGGCCCATTTTTTATTTCTAAAAGTAAACAGGCAGCCTGCGGGGGTCTGTGGGGTTATGGGAAAGGAGGAAACAGTGATGCTAATCAGGTCTCTGCACACTTCCCCCTCCAACAATAAAACAAAACAAATGTGGAAACATGGAGCAGATAGACAAGACTGAAGGAATGGGCTTACAGCAAGAGGGCGCAGATAACACGAGCTGTACACAATGCAATTTGGACTTTTTGCACTAATTGTTGTCAGTTTTGTCAGAATACTATTTTAAACCTCTCTCAGCTTCTCCATAAACATCTTTAAGTAGCACTTAGTTTCTAGGAAGTACTGTGGTAAGTTCCTCTCGATAGGGCAGTGACTGAGATTACTGTACACACACTGGTGCAGAACAGGCAGTTCTGAAACATGTGAAATCACTGACGTCCAGTGACGCAACACCTGACAGCTCATCAGGAAAGGTGGTGCTGTTGTCTATACATCCTGAGATTCACAGACTCAAACAACAACCAGTAAGCATATGTGAGTTAATTCAATGGAATACAGCTGGTTGTACAGTCAGCAGTCGGTTATAGCTGCCTTTGCTTCCACCGCGCCACATGGACCTAGTGTTATCAGTGAGTGAGTGCTAACAGAGTGGGAGTGATCGAGGCAGGGCAGGACGGGCAGAGGGAGGTCTAAAGGCTGAGTGGCTCTGAAGGGGGTGGGGATAATTGAATTATCTGCACAACGGAGTGATGGGGGGCACGTGGTGCTGCTAATGGAGGAAAAGATGTCCTTTTTAGTAGAGCTAATTGCTCAGAAAAGAGCTGAGCCTTTGTTCAGTGAGGCCCTGCTACTTTCACTATGCACTTACGTGCACACAATCAAATAACACACACACACACACACACACACACAGACCAGTTTGAGACCTGTGTATGTGTGCAACATTTATAATGGACAGAGCCTGAATACTGAGCCACTGTCCCAGAGAAGCCTCTGATCTCAGCAGGAGAGATCCAGCCTGTGGCACCTTCTCAGCATCAGCCACAGACACTGTTTTACTGTTCTGCTGTCTACCTCTGCGACTGCTGGCCTTATACACCTTTACACGTATGCACTGCATATGACATCTTTTAGCCACTATATGTTGTTTATTGTAAACTTAACCCTCTGAGCTCATATGCACAAACAAGGGATCTACCAGGCAGATGTGAGGCCGACTAAACGGGCTAACTTTCTGGGTTATCTGAGTGAAAAGCAGGTGTGATAGTGACATATAAAGATAATAGGCAGGCCCACAACACAGATGTGACAGAAGGGGAGCACACAGGGAGCAGTCGAGACAAAATGGCAAAAACACAAAGATGAGAGAAACAAACTAACTGCCAACCCCGAGGCAACAACAGAGGCTCAACTGTGTCTTTAATCTGGGGCACACTTTAATGTCTGCGCAGGAATTAACTTCTGGCAACATGTAATCAAAACAAATATCTGAATTGCGCAACATATTTCTATTTGTGGAATGTATTTTGTTTTTGTTTATATTTGTCTATAAATATCTATATTATTTTGGATCTATTGTTCTACATATGAACTTTATTTATTTATGAATGAGATGTGTTGCATGAAAGGAGAGCCACACTGATGCCATAGCTCATTTCTGAGTCAGCGATGTCATTAAGACCGGTGGCTGCCCGAGGCTCTCACTCAGACGACTGAGGACATTGTACTGGTCCTTGTAAAAGAGACAAACGAGTTCATTAGAGAAAACAAAAAGGCTCAGACTACGAGTGGAAGCGACTAACAGAGCTCAAGTCTGAAGTGCTTTTGTCTATTCTTCTTATGTGAGATGCTCCCACCACAGAGCAACCGCCAGTGCTGTGCAGCAGTGAGGAGGCTCCGATCAGACCAGCATGAAACCTGATCCAGGGCCGGCTAATGGAACCAGTGATGTACCACAGGTTGAAAAAATCCATGAGTAATCAATATCTCTGGCTCCCCAGCCTCCTCCCAGATTATCTCATTTAGAAATACATAGGCCAATGGACCAGTTCATGTCAGTATGTGGAACAACAAACACATCATATGTATTTTAAATGTTAAATAAAGATTCTGTTGAAGGCTTCTAGATAGTGAGCAGTTAAAATTTTAATGCAATTTTGGTGTAGCCTTACTCATAATTTTAAATAATTTACGGCTTCTGTGCTTAATAAAAAAATTAAGACAAAAAAACTAAAACAAAAGTATGTCATGGCTAAATTGAGTTCTCATTGATTGGCCATTGACAGTGTTGAGACATTTTACTCATTAGTTTCACAGTTCTGATGTAGCATGGCTGTGGAAAGGTGGCATTGTTTTTATTGATGAGGTGAACAGGAAATACTCTGAGGTGTTTATGAGGTTGAGTTACAAGTTATGAGGGTGCCTGCATGTGCAGAATATAGGGCACATACCACTCCAGCTCTAAGCACAGGTCTAGTTTTAATTCTAGTATATCTTCTCAGCATGAGCCATGTTTACAACGCAGTAATGAATGCAGACGATGTATGTCTCTTCGTTTTAAGAGCTTTTCATATATTGCCAAGCATCAGTGCATGTATAACAAAAAGGGTCATATATAAATGTAAGACCAAAATTAAATTTCGCAACTCAACAAATGCAGGTTTATCTTTTCCTATCTTATCAAATCAGGCCACTGCATGCTGTCTTTATCTTCAAAGAAACTATTATCTTTTGCCCCATGAGTAACTATCTCATGCTTTGGGCTGAGAGCTGATTGGCTGAGGGAGGAAAGTCATTTATTTTTTCACTGTTCTGCCTGAAAAAGCTGTGGTACAGGCCACAAAATATGTGTAAAGTGTAAACTACTGTCCAACTACTGTGTACAATTGTTTTGTGGTTGGAAAGTTAGGTACCCCAGCTTTATGTGCTTATCATCTATTGGCAAGCCTCGACTTCACTAAGCTCCTCGCTTGAGCCATTTAACTGCTTTCTCATCTCTGTAAAAAACGTGGTAATTTGCGGGAACATGCGGACCTTTGGCTGCGTAAAAAGCGGACCTCTGGCTGCGTAATGGCGCTCAGGGGGGGGTGTGAGGGGTGGGAGAAGCCGGCAGAAGAGGGGGCTCTCACGGCGGGGACCTCTTGCCTGTGTTGTGTAGTGTAGTGTAGTAGTGGAAACTCGCTCTGGAGCCTTGTAATTGAATTGTGAATCAACGACAGGCTCTCCAAACCCCGCCCCGCTCAGATGTCGTCTTTGGCGCACGCAACGCCCATAACCCCAGTGATACAGGGAGCGAGTGAGTGAGTTTTGGAGTGAGCACGAAAGAACGAGGAAAAGACGCGTTGTGTAGAGAGCGCAGACAAAGATAAGTTTTCTTGAGACGTGCCAAAGAGTGAGGCGAGGACGAGCGCGTAACGTGGGAAGGTTCTTATTTTTTCTTTTATATGTTGGTGTTTTTGCGTCGCTTGTTAGAATAAAACGGGAACGCGGCAGCGGGCGGTCAATCACGTTGCTCTGATGATCATGACGGCAGCTGTCGATATGAAACCCACGTTAACCATTATAAAGACCGAAAAGATGGATGGTGAGTATAGCCTTGACACAGTTATGCCTACACTAACAGCGATTCCGTATCTTTCCGCGCGTCTCATGTAGTCAATGCTATGCGTCAGCCCAGACCACAACAGTTTTTGGCAATTGACATTGTACCATGTTACAATGTGGAGGATTGATGTTACTCAATAGTGGAGAATTCGCAACGCAACACTCGTGGAAATCACGCCTGGGGCTACAGTATAGTTCCATGTAACCAGGCTGGGCTGTTTGTTATCAGAAGTGAGTCAGGCAGGTATGATGCCGCTGTGTACAAGTTAGATATCATACAGTGATACGGCAAGAGCGTCTGTGTATGTGTGTGCTTGTCAATGTGTGTGAGAGAGTGTATATATGTGTGCAAGTGTGGGTTATTAAAAGTTTTATTTTGCCCTGTTTTGTACAAAAAAATCACTCTTCTATGTAACTCAAACACTACTGTACTCTCCTCTCCATCCATGTTGGTCTCCAGTCTCCCTCCCCTGTCTGAGAGAGGGCAGCAGGGCGGGTTGAGGGGGGGGATGATTTCACTGCTGCTGAGGCTTGTCTGTCTGCACACAACTCCAGGGTTATCAAGGACAGGGAAGTCCCAAAACCGACTAATGGGCCTCTTTTTCTATAATGCTATTGTCTGATGTTCTTATGTTGGGTGTGTGATTTGTGTAGTTTTAAAAGTGCAGCAACACATTTCATTTATTAGATGTTTTTTAAGTATTTGAACTAAAGCATAAAGGTTAATACAGTGATACACCCCATTAAGACACTTCTGGTAAGGATCTTTTTTAGGAGACGTGCAAGAATGCTGACAACTACAGTTACATGCTCTAGCAGTGTCTTGCAAAAGCATTTCGCAAGGTTCAAACTTTGATGGAACAGTCACGCTACACGAAACACATTCAAAAAGTGGACATTATTTCATCATCAAACATGTTTACAAACCTATGTGGGAACGTGTTTACATATGTTGCTTGATAAGAGCCAAAATCAGTACTGACTGATATTGTGATTACATGTTGAGATGTAATGTTATTGCAATTGTGATTGACAACAGTCTTAGATTCTTAGATTAGAATGCTAGAGCAGTTCAAAGCATTTAAGAGGTTGTTGAATACTGTGACTGCTCAATTTAAAGATGCAATAACACAATATTTCGACTACTTTTCAATGAATGACGGATCACATTTTGGACTCAATATCGTTTGTGTGTGCATTGCATTTGCAATAGCTGAGATATTTTGATGATTTTATTTTCAATACAATGACTATTTAACAGTTGTCAGTTGAATAAGGTTTAATATTGTTAAACCCAGTTTTTATATTTTTGACAGCTCATACCTGATGACTTGACTGCACGTCAGAATTATATATTTGACTTTTTCCTTTTCAGTGGCATTATGCACTTTCAATATCATCATTTATTTCTATCAACTGAAGGTATAGTGACAGTATTTTGAATCACATGCGACCAATTCATCATGCCCTCTGCGAATCTTGAATGTTTATAGCTAGATTTAATGATATACTGATCATGTTGGGAAATATGATTCACTCTATGGACAAAAATCTGCAATTTAAATTGTGTTCTTTCCACCCTTTATTAGGACCTTGCCATTATCGACAGTGACTTGACACTAATGTAAGGAGTGGTCTGAAGTTAATTGAGAGCATTCTGACAACTTTCCTTTGGTGCTGTCCCTGGGTCTGCAGGTCAGGGTTCACTTACGGACAGGAATGTCTGTGAGTATGTCCTACTGAGCATGGAGGCATAAAGGAACAGGAGGAGGCACAGCATTATCTGATCAGAGGAGCCTTGTTTGTTATAACAAGCATGCCTGATGCTTGTAAGAGGGCCCTTATATGGAATCTTACTCCCTGCCCACTCATGCAGGCTGCATGGGCGATGACTCTGAGGTGGAGATGTTTTTTTTCTGAGGTGACTCCCTTGTTGGCACGGCAGAGGAGCTGGTGTCAGGACCTGGCATGTTACATAATCATCAGGTTTGAGCTTTGGTCATGTCAGTGGCCCTTCAGTAGCGCTGTATAATATACGCTAGTGTGCTACAGTGTGGTGTCTGGCAGCTGTGCAAACAGTGTTTGGGTGATCTGGCCTACTCTTGATGTGGTCTGTCAATGAACTAGACCAAACAGCACAAACAGGTCCATTTCTCATCTCATGTGTTGAGTGTCAAACTGAGGCGCAAAGGGTAAATCTGATTTGGTGTCCCGGGAGCTTCCGTGGACTTTAAACCCCCACACACTGGAGCTAAAGCCGCGTTAGCTCCCATGCTTCGTCGCACTTGCTCAGTCTGTGTATAAGTCTTTTAAGTTTATTCATCTAAGTATTTAGCCCATGTGAATGTGTTGTGCCCCTGCGGGAAAGGCCTCCTGCTGAGCGGCTGCTGCGGGGGCACAAGGAACACTACATGAAGCTGTTTTCTTCAGGACATAAAGTTGACTTCAGTTTTCTCTTCCGCGTTAAATGCACTGTGACAGTACTGTGTGTGGGCAACACCTTCAGATCCAGGAGCTATCTGCTATGTTAACAAATGACTCCAATGTTCACTTCACCATTACTCTCTGGCTGTTAGACCAGGCCAATAGAGCTGTGCCAAGGTTCCCACTTATGGAGGAACAGCATTAGACATCACACATCCTTTTTAAGCAGCTTTTAAAATCCAAACAGTTTGGCCATTTTAAAGTTTTAACATCATCGACCCTTATCGCACACCACCAAACCATTATACTGTGTGGTTCCTATCCCGCTGCTTCCCTGGTGACTACACGCCTTAATCTTTGCTTATAAAAGTTAGTCATAAAGTAAGGCGTGTTAGCACCAGAAACAGCCGTTGGCTCAATGGTAAGCACATGTTGGAGTGGGAGAAAGCGGGGGCTTTTGAAAGAAAGAGGACCAAGGTGTGGCTGAACTAATGGTCAAGAAAGTTCATTTACCTTGTTGCTAATGTAATTGTTGCCGCCTGAGAAAGCAGAATGCCATGCTAACTCAAATGTTTCTCCATCATGTGTCCTAGATAGTCTCAGATTCTCCATCCAGACACCTGTTTTTCAAGTTAGCATTGCTTCTGCTTTTGTAATCAAGTAATAACTACAGCTATTTTTTAAACCTATTGTTAATGTATCTTCAAAATGGAATAAACATAAACTCGGAGATACAAACCGGAAAATCTACAAAACTTGTATGAAACAAAACTCAAACATTTACTTGGTCTATTGTTCTGTTCCACATGTTATTATTTTAATAACCCATTGTGCTTTCTTCTTGCATTACATAAAAGTTAGTTATACGTTATACGCTTTATGCTTTGGTCATTCATTCACTTTGCACAGTCATTTTTGTGGAATGGAGAAGCCCATTATTCTCATGTCCAGTCATTCTGAGTTGGTGACTCATGGCAGTGTGTAAGTTTTATGTCTGCGGAGTCAGAACATTACAATCATACTTATGCCACTAGTCCTTTTTAACTCATTTGAAATTAAACTGAAATCTTTTTGCCACCCAGACTCGAGCCTAGCACATTTCTGGTGACATTAGTGGAAAGCTTGAATGTTGCGAGCAGTACATTAGCGGTCCTCAAACAGGAGTGGAATGTGAAACATCTAACTTCAAAACAATGTGGTCTGCTGGGAATTTATGAAGAATCCATATGTTCGCCTGTTTAACTGGATGTATAATTAGATTCAGCCTATTGAAGATGACAAGCTAAATGATATAATAGTCATGGTATGTGCAGTATCGAAGTAAAATAGTCTCAGCTCCATGATTTGAGGGTAAATTGTTTGTCAGAAATGTCATGTGTTTGGCTTAACAACCAAACAGTTCTCTGGAGCATCTTGTGTCTGTTTACACCAAGCAGAGAGCAGAGGCCAGAAGAATGCATAGTTTGACTGGTATCACTTGCGCTTTACTGTACATGGAATTTTAGTACAGAGGGTCTGAAGATCCATGGTAACATTTGTGTATATTTTGCTAATAAAAAGAGCCTCTGCTGGTTAATGTCTGGTCAATGATCATCACCCTTCTCATCGAGATTTGCTTCTCTGACATAAATGGTAAAGTTATGGATGTTCACATCTGAGACTAATGTTATTACAGAGATGGAGTCGGTGGAAGAGAGAAAGACAACTAGACGGTTCTAAGGGGCATTAGTCTCACTTACTGTCTGCTCCTTCGCCATTCAGTCTGTGGTGCTTATAATGCTGGACCACTCCAGTTTCATGGGCACAGACAGATGTCCAGAGTCGTTGCAGTAGAACTTGTATTTGGATTGTTGAACTCAGCTGCTTTACACTACCACAGGCTCGTGCTCCGAGAGGCCATCCAGGAGTCAGTGGTAGAAAACTCAGAATAAAATTAGTGTTTCAGCAGTGATGATGGAGGGATTGGCCTCTGAATCTCTGTGAGCAGTTGTGTTTTGGTGCTGCTTTAGATGAATTCTGGTCAGGCTTTGTGGTTTGGCTTTATCCAAACCCACTTTTTGTGTGCCCTTGATGTGAGATGGAAATCTAAACAGTCCAACAGCTGGCTGAACAAGCAGTTCTCTGAACGCTGACGGTTACATCGTCTCTCCCTTTGCAGTCCTTAGACACCCTTTATCACCTCTGCTCTGAAGGACCTCTTTATGCTGAGTTTTATGACTCGTGCTCTCAGACTAGGAGAGCTGATATGGATCTCCATCAAAGGGTCCCCTCAGATATCACGTCACATCTGCTTTGTGCTCTCCAGACTGCTCCAGCTCAGAGCTGCAATCATAAACTGCTGGCACTGCCAGAAGCTTGTTTTCCCTGTTGCAGCAGAGACTCTCTAGAAAGGCCACTGCACAAGCAGCCCCAGTGATGCATCTAGGTCTGACCTTCACCTGAACCCTCTGCTCACCTTAGATCCCACAGGGAGTTCCAACTGGGCCACAGGAAACTAACATTGACTGATTTCAAAACATTCCTGAACAACAGAAACAACCAGTGACTTGGGCATGGATATAAATAGATACATTTCTGGAGGTTGTCTCTTCTTTCCATGACCACAGACAACGACCAAGTAAATTATACCATTATTTATAGCCCCATCACATTATAAAAGCTTATTGTGGCTCATTTGTAGGGCCTTGTTGCCCGTTTGACTTCTTTTGTTGCATCATCTTGACTGGAGGCGGCAGTCCTAGCTTTATGAATGAAGCGCCTCTCTGCCACAGGCTGGAGATGGCATTGATCCCATGGTGATGTCAGCCTCTCTGTGAGACCTCCCATTCACAGGCCTGTCTCTGCTCTGCCTAATGCCCACTGCTCTGTCCTGTGATGGGATCATGTTACAGACAGTGACTCATCCCTCCATTGGCTCCCCCCACCCCCCTCTTAAGGTGATTCTTTCTATTTTGCTTCACCCTGATAATGAAAAAACAGATGATGCTCGTTGGTGGTTGAGGAGGAGGAGGGCCGGATTGCATGAAGTGCAACTCCTGCCCGGAAATCTCCCTCAGGACCGATAGCGTCACTTTTAGCTGCTTGTCCGTAGCTCCTATCTCTGTTTGAGGGGAGTGGCCAATCAATAGCTTTTACTGTGCTACCAGACAAAACATTAGTCTCACTATATCAGAACGTCTAATGGACTTATGTTTTCCTTCACATATAAAGGATTATTTCATATCACGTTTGTGTTGTCTTTTCCTGATGACGGACTAAGTTTGCAAAAGAAAAATGTGTCATAATGTTTTGTTTGCATTTACGATCCACTGTAAGGCGCCAAGCCACAGGCAAAGCTGCACTTAGTGGAGAGGTCATCACTGTTGATGTGGAAAATGAACTTACTAATGCAGAGTGTATTTTATATTCTGACCATTGGCCAAACTAATGTGGTTGTAGGCAATGAAATCTTATCCTAAAGAGTGATGAAGGTCTTTGTTCAAAAATTATCCCAAGTGCAGTTCATCTTTGACCTAATCATTCTTTTATGTACTGTTATTTATGAAGTCCCTTTGCTCCATGTGTCTTTGATGCAGGATTTAATGCCTTGTCTGCGTGGGCAAGTTTTGCTGGGGTCTTGTTTGATAAAAGCAGCAAAAAGGAGGGGTGTAAATGGTTCGAAAGCTCAGACAAACTTCATTCGATCCAGCTTAAATAAGCGGCCACATTTGTTTTTTGCCTCGGCTTCAAAGAGCAGACTGTCTGATCCCGGCTTCTTTTAGGTTTTAGCAGTTGAGAGCATGCCGATTCTGAACAATGCCTCGATTATCACTATGTCCCTAAAGGTTGCATTGAGTGTGTTTAATAATCTTGCTGTAACTGTTTCTAACGGCGAGTGTATATATAACATTACATTTATCACCTAAAAACGTAATTTTGCAAATTGGCCAGACAGACAGTGGGAGCCTGGGAAAAAGGGGACAGCTGCTGTACATTCCAGACAAGGTCGAGACGTCAATAAGGACAGCAAACAAGCATGAACTGTATGCAGCCTTAGAGTATGTGGCTAATGAAACAATCACTGCCAGTGGAAACGCCACAACATCTGGGTTCCACAAAGGACAAAACAACAGTGTTAAACTAAATGCTTTGGTATTTCCCTCAAATGCACAACTTAAGTTACCAGACGAAAATAATTGGTTTGACAGATTCTATTTGTAGAAATGTCAGCATTATCATCAAACATTATTTCTATAATCAATGTCCCTGATCAGTTTTGGCCATTCTTGCTATCTTGTTGTTTTGTCTTCAGGGTCTTTCCCTCGGTCACATTATTGTCTCTTGCATTATACCCTTAGCCCATTCTCAGCCTGGTCAATTTAATTTGGTGATGGGGAGTCATTGGGTGCTGTTTAAAGCCATCAAAGGCCGCCCTGTTCCCCGCTGGGTGCCCAGTGGCAGTGGACAGTAAACAGAGAGCCCAGTGTGTGAGTGGGACCCTGGAGACAGCCCACCCCTCACTCTACTCGCCACCCGCCTGGTGACATCATCACCCTATCCCCCACCTCTGACCCGCCACACTATTTGACCCTGCAGCCCGGCGACAGTGGAGCCTCTGTGGAAGCAGAGCTCAGGGTCAGGGTGTCACTTATGGCCACCAGACACTGATTTAAAGGGGTTATTTTTTGTTTGAGTTTGAGTTATATCTTTTGTATCATTTTAAAATCAACCATTTTATATCTTGCAAAAAAAGTGAAATAAGCTTGTATATAATTATATATTTTTTTCATTGTTTGCAGACCCTGAGTGTGGGGATGTGCCACTTCTAACGCCTGGTAGTAAAGAGATGATGTCCCAAGCCTTGAAAGCAACTTTTAGTGGTTTCACCAAGGAACAGCAACGACTTGGTATTCCCAAAGGTAATATCATCATTTATGTTTATTTTGCAAATTACAGTTGGGAAATGTTCAAGATACAATTCAATTATTGTCTTAATTACATACTAAGGTGCCTCTGAGACACTTATGTTTCAATATATATCAAGAAGCAGACTAGATATGTAATGCATTTGATATTTGTGAATGGAGGATACTTTTGTACCACTTTTATATCCCTTTGATTTGACTGAGCTACATACATTTGTGTGTCCCATGCAGACCCTCGACAGTGGACGGACAACCATGTAGCAGAGTGGCTGACGTGGACAGTTAATGAATTCAGCCTTAAAAATGTGGACTTTGACAAATTCTGCATGAATGGAGCCAGCCTGTGTGCCATGGGAAAAGACCGCTTTCTCGACTTAGCCCCTGACTTTGTGGGCGACATCCTTTGGGAACATTTGGAGATGCTTCAGAAAGGTATTCTAACATTTCATGTTGTTGAATAAAATGCATAATCGTGTTGTTTCTGCATCTTTATTTGGGGAAATATGTATGTATATATTAATATCCCATGCCACTGTTGGTATTTGCCCCTGTAACGAGAGCCGAACAGGAAGATACAATTTAGCTCAGTCCATTAATTTTTGATAATGCTGGATGCAGTTACATGATACATGGGATCGATGAGCAGGTCACTGACTCTCTGTCTCTATCTATTTTTCATGAAGAGGATACGAAGCATTACCCCATCAATGGGCTGACCTCCAGCTTCCAGGAATCTCGTTATACCTCAGACTACTTTGTCAGTAAGTCTCAATATATTTACCTCCTCTCTTGTTTATTGAGAACTACAGTGCAGATGAAGGCAAACGTTTGGGTTTAAAACAAAATTATCAATACCTTTTTTGAATACTTTATACATAAATTATAACATTCCACACAATAAATTGGACTAAAGCAATTCGATAAGGCTTTTCTGGCATCATCTCAGAAGAGTCAATAAAGGCATTAGGGAAAAGTATTTATTATTTATAACACATTTGGGCAAGCCATTGACATAATGCATAGGGCCTAGACTTGGAGGAACTCTGAGCGGAAAAGTGGAACTACATAATATCGTAGAATTCTGCAGACGGAGTGAAACCGAGTGAAACTGAAATGATGCTTTACGGTGGTCTTTACTTGTGTTACCAGGCTATGGTGTTGAGCATGCTCAGTGTGTCCCTCCTTCTGAATGCTCAGAGCCTGGCTTCATCACAGAGTCGTACCAGACGCTTCATCCCATCAGCTCAGAGGAACTTCTTACACTCAAGTACGAAAGTGAATACCCCACCATCCTGCGGGAAATGCCCCTCAACCCACTGCAGGGGGACTACTTCTCCATCAAGCAGGAGGTGGTGTCGCCCGACAACATGTGCGTGGGCCGCCTCAGCAGAGGTTAGTATGGTGCCAGTATTTAAAGTCACATGTTCTGTGGAGTCGCTTGTTGATCTGTTTTCCAAGACGTGAAATGAGAAGCAGAAGGCAGGAGTTTCTAACCCAGGAGAAGTTTAAGGATCCATCAGCGATGCAACCCACCAAAATGGCGATTGTCAGGTCTTGGTCTTGGTCCGAAAACCGGTCTCGGCCTAAGCCCAAGTCAGATTTGTCTTCCGTAGCTCTGTCTGTCTGGCCTTATAAGAGTTCTATAGAATGTTCCTACCTTGCAGGATAAGAACAGAGAGCACCGAGCTCATTCACTTTTCTGGTGAATAGTCTACCACTTGCTTGAGTTAATCACTATGACATGACTCTGATTTTTGTGTGAATGACATCAATTTGACCCATACTTTTATAGATTGACAGTAAACAAATCAAAAACACTTCTCCTCTTCCGTGTAGTGTATTTGTATAGCACAATGCATCTCAAAGTGCTTTACAAAACAATAGAAAGAAAACATTAATTTCATAACAAGTAAAACAATCTATATTTTTTTTTTTCTTTTTTATGGGAGTGGAGTTAAAATCTGAACGCTTGATACTATACTTAATTGCAAATTATTCTTTTTTTATCAGTCCCATAACATAGAATACACCACTAATTCTTCTCCTGTCATATGTAGCGCAAACTGGACAAGTGATCTGGTGAATCTTTAGTTAAATGCAAGGGTTTGTTTCAGCTCGTGAGATTTCAGGGCCTTTGGTATTTCAATGTGTGCGAGGATTGCACCAAAGCTACCAGAAAATGTCATGCCACAGTTGAATGCATATATTAGAAGAACAACTGGGGCTCTGGTTGGTTTGCGGTTTGCGCGAACCCGTCTCTCTCGCTTTGGTCTGGGATCGGAAAAAAAAAATCTTGTTTTTGAGTGTTACACGAACAAAGCCACAGAGCAGCAGCAGCCCTAGCATCATCTCGCTGCTTGTCCTCTATGTAAATCAGTTAGGTGCTGTAACCTCAAAGCACAGTTTTGTTTTCATGCACCTCTGGCCTCTTTCTCTCAATTCACCCCGAGTCTTCTGGGTAAAGAAACAGAGGTGTCATAATCAGTCATTTTTTAAAAGACGCAATGGTTTTCTTTTTGGTTAGCTAGTCTTTCCCTTCCATGGATTTCATAAGTATTGGTAGCATTGTTTATATTCAGTCATAAACATTGGATTTTCTACTTTCAAATGACTCTCTGTATAAATGAATCCCACACGTCCTCCACTCCGTAACCGTTTGCCTCCTAGGTCCTTCTTAACGGTGGACATGTGTGCATTGTGTTGTGGGAAAGTATTTTGTAGCTCTGCCACTTTCCACATGTGGCACCAATTTATGCCATTTGAAGATCTCGGCATCAATCGAAGGACTACATTATCTGTCATTTGTTAATGACACGACCATCGAAAGGCTTCTTATCTCTATCTCAAAATAGAAAAGGCAATTTCTGCAGGTCTCGTTTTACAATCACAAGTACATTCTCTAAAAGAAGAAGAAAAATCAGTTGTATCTGTTAACATTTGGACTCCCACAATTATGAAACTACTAAAACTCCCCTTTCATTCATAGCAAGATAATTCACAGAAATTGCCCCAAATTGTTTCGTTTTTGCATAAGATGTAATAAAAGTAAATCTTCTATAAGGGTTTTTTTGTTTTGCCTTGCTCACTTTTTCTAAGATTCAAAACTGGTTAATATAACTTGAAATACATGGTTGCTGAAAGGCTACCAAATGCTAACTGGTACCAAGTAAACATTATGTTGCTATGGTAACTAGTTTAGGCTCTACTCTGGGAGGTAAAGGAAGAAACACTTTAGTAAAAGATACATCTAGAAACAGTCACAAAGTTAGGAACATGCGTTAAGCATTTACACTTACAAAACTAAAGGCTGTCAAATTGGCCGCTCCTATTAATAAAGCTGGGTTACCTAACTTTGAAACTACAGAATTGAAACAGAATCTAACCAGGGCCTCGATCTTAAAACTATGCATATTTCCACATCATTTAGATCAGCTTTTTCAGCCAATCAGCTCTATTAACAATTGCTAATAAGAGGAAGACGGCATGCAGTGGTCGGATTGGTTGTTTTCTACTTTTACAAGACTTTTATGATAAATATGTATTCTTTATTTAAAAAGTCAGGAACCTCAGCTTTAAAATCCTGCTTACCTCTTTCACCATGGACACATTCTGTCAACTGTTATTTTTTTTCCCAAATCAACTTGCTTCTAAAAAAAAAAAAGCTGACATTGCACTGAATTTATTCTACTTTTTGTACGTTTTTTTTATTCAGGTAAACTCGGAGGCCAGGACTCGTTTGAAAGCATCGACAGCTTCGAGAGCTGCGATCGATTGACGCAGTCCTGGAGCAGCCAGTCCTCCTTCAGCAGTCTCCAGCGGGTGCCTTCTTACGACAGCTTCGACTCAGAGGACTACCCCACGGCTTTGCACGGACACAAACCAAAAGGGACCTTCAAGGACTATGTGAGGGAGCGCTCAGACCTCAGCAAAGACAAACCGGTCATCCCCGCCGCTGCCCTGGCCGGATACACAGGTGAGACACGCTTTTTTGCATAGTTAGAGTTTGAACTATAAGTGACTACACACTGTCAAACCACGGGTAGATACTTTTCCCGCAGAGTCACAAAAGCCTTATGGCCTGTCATGTCCATTGCTTTTTCTTCAGTATTTGCCATGTCAACACTTTCTTCCAAATTCCAAAGAGGCGCAATGTTTGTATTCATGTGGAGTTGTGGAAGTTGATTTCAAATAGTAGTGTGCGTTCGCATTTGTCGTGGCGGCCGGTCTCCTTGTATCTAATCTGAAAACTGCATGGTATGTTGGCCAAGGTTTGAACCCACGCCCACACTCTCAAATCAAGCATCAAAAAAAGGAAAAAAAAGCTTAAATACTTACTTTACTCTTAAGAAGGTGAAGTTCAGGAGAAACTTTAAATGTGTCTCTATCATAGGCTGAGCCATCTGGAAATTATAAATCATTAATTTTCCCCTCGGATTGACGTTTCCTATCATAACTGTAGATTGATATAATATTTAAAATACTGTGTGGGATTATTAACCCCTGGAATTAAATTGTCAATCTACCAACATTGAGTATTTTTTAGATCTTTTTGTTTTTGGTACAGCTTTATTTTAGTAGTAGTGGTTTATTTCTTTGGTCATTATGGACATTAAATCTTAGGCCACATGTTTTCAGATCTTACACATTTTACAATTAGATTTTTTTTAGATTATAATTTTTTTTTTTTTAAAGAATATTAATAAGAATTTTAGTGTAATTAATGCCTGACCAAAAGGGATTTAGGCTGAAGTTGAGCCTTATACTGCCTTATACTAACCCCTATTACAACTGTGAGAATAAGTCCAAAGATGACACATTATACAGTTTCTCATATACCATCGATAGTAACGTGTAGCACAAAACTTAAACTTCAGTATTCAGAGTTATTAAGCATAATCCATTTCAAGTGTTCTATACTTCTCCCTAATGTTAACTTATGCTTACAAAAAAAGCTTTAATAGTGCTATAGCCCTTAAGTTGTCGAGGTAGACTGTTCCATGGATCAACTCCTTTTGACTGCCTTACATTGAGCAGATGTCTTGCAAAAGGCCCAGATGTGGAAGTGTCATTCTGCTGCTTGAGGTGACAAACACACCCTTTCAGCAGCAGCAGAAGTCGTGCACATCACAGGAAACAAAAGTACGGTGTGCGTAAGCTTCCCTCTCTCTGCCTCTCATCTGCCTTCGCTCTTATCTGCCGGCCGCATCTTCAACCTGGTGCTTTTTTCTGGGTCGCCCTAGCAACGCAGCTAACACAGAAATTGCACCACGTAGCACCATGACTCAATTATCCCTCTATCATACAAAACATCTCATCAAACCTGCTGCAAGGAGCTGTGCGGCATCTTCAAGCAGATGTGGAGATACGTAGCTCCAAATGCACTGTTCTCCATCGTGCTTTTTAGGTTTGACTTCAGAACTTCAGCTCCTTTCTTTCCGTCAATATTATAATTTATGGTCATCTGCCCTTTAGGGACCAATGGCTCTGTGTTTTTAATCATTGCATATCTTGAGTTTGAACTGTTTTATTCTCTGGTCTGTGTTGGCAAATTTAACGAGATAACTACTGTTAGGCTATAGAAGAATAAGTTGAATTGAATAATGTAATATTGAAGATCTTACATCTTAATACATATTTTAGTAAGTAATATTTATTCATATTTCACAAAGCGCTTTACAATTGTGGGATTTGTCTCTCACTCCACACAGAGATGGGCCAGTACAGGAGGCGCATGCCAGACCCATTGTACATGTTATTAGTGGTAGGGGAAACCGGAGCACCCAGAGGAAACCTACGCAGACACGGGTAGAACATGCAAACTCCACTGTTTGCATGTGAACAGAAAGGCCCTGTTCCGACCATGATTTGAACCCAGGATCTATATATGGATGATTATAGATTATAGATTATAGATCATTAAGTTAAAAGCCATCTTCCTTGGAATAGTGGTGTAGAAAACAAGAACAAATTGTGCAACTCTTACTGTCTCAATAAATTGCAGGGTCTGGAAAAAAAAAGAATAGAATAGTGAAAATCTCTATATTGTAAGAGCAAGACACGGTTTCCCACTAAAAGCACAGGCGCCAGCGAATGGGACTTTTCACCTGTGTGTAAATCACAATCACAAGGCAGTCATATTTCCAGCGCTGTCGAAGGGGAAAATCCAGGGAAATGTCTCCAATAATGAGGGCATCACATCGTGTTAAGCCAAAGTCGGTATGCAGATTTTAATTCGTCATCCGTATACTTGGTCCTTCAAAAGACGCTATAAAACAATGGGAGTCTTATTCAGTGCAAGGAACTTTTTGTACAGCACATATCATAAGTACATTCTACCCTACAAATGACTTTTGTTGTTCTGCTAGCAGGGAGTAGCACGATTTCCCGCATCACATAAAACTAATTCATATTGTGTTTGTGTTAAAGTTGTAATCTAAGACTGTGCTCGCTCTATGATGACATTATTTAACTTTAATTTGGTAGCCTAATGCACGCTAAACTTTACAAGTACTGGGCCCATACTAACTTCCAGATGCAAAATACTAAAATATTGTCAAATTAAAGTCATTAAGTCAATCCCTGTGATAAAAAAAAAACTATTATTTTGGGAATGTATAGTTATTGTCATGTAGGCTGTCTCTATCAGTGAGTAAAACCTCACAAACGGTAACGAGCTGTTGATTTTGAGCCGAGTTTTGAGTTTGAGAAGTTCAGCTTCAGGCCTGATAAGCTGCTCACCGATAAGTGACGCTCTGCTTCCTGTGAGAAGTTTCTGTACTTCACCTCTGTTAATTTACACCGATATCAATCATCAAGACTTTGAGATGCGGTCATTTATAATCACAAACATATTATTTGCTCCTATTTTTAAATTTAAGTTTTGTTGTGGATAAAAAGTGAATATGGGAAGGTAATATTATGAAAAACCTGTTTTTATTTTGTCACAACACATCATGGCATATCCTTCATAGTCAGATGGATATTAGGGCGGCACGGTGGCGCAGTGGTTAGCACTTGTGGTTCACTGCAGAAGGTTCGATTCCACCTCTAGTTAGGACCTTTTTGTCTGGAGTTTGCATGTTTTGCACGTGTCTGTGTTGGTTTCCTCCAGGTAATCCGGTTATCCCACCACTAAAAACATGTACAATAGTCCTCTATAACACTCTCCATGTCCCACTCCCATTTATCAGACTTATCACATTTATTGGCAAAAAAATAAATAAAATGTAATAAATTCTCACAAAAAGAAGTGAACGTCAGTTTCTTTTCAAAAGGAGAAGACAGAGTGAAACCAGTGCTTTTTGAAGATGAGCACAGCTTAGACACGCCCATGCTCACCCCTGCAGCTTCTCCATTTGACAAAATTAGTCCAAATCATTTCGAACTCTTCCCTTAATCAGAAATGCACTATTTAAAAAAGAAAATAAAAGATATACACTCAAAAAACAGAATAATAAAAATTAGTGGTAACACTTTACATTACGGGCCGGTAAGTCCATGGTACTTACAGTGGTACTTCTAGGTACTTACAGTGGTACTTCTAGGTACTTACAGTGGTACTTACGGTGGTACTTACGGTGGTACTTACGGTGGTACTTACGGTGGTACTTACGGTGGTACTTACGGTGGTACTTACGGTGGTACTTACAGTGGTACTTACAGTGGTACTTCTAGGTACTTACAGTGGTACTTCTAGGTACTTACGGTGGTACTTACGGTGGTACTTACGGTGGTACTTACGGTGGTACTTACGGTGGTACTTACAGTGGTACTTACGGTGGTACTTACGGTGGTACTTACGGTGGTACTTACGGTGGTACTTACGGTGGTACTTACGGTGGTACTTACGGTGGTACTTACGGTGGTACTTACGGTGGTACTTACAGTGGTACTTACGGTGGGTACTTACGGTGGTACTTACGGTGGTACTTACGGTGGTACTTACAGTGGTACTTACAGTGGTACTTACAGTGGTACTTACAGTGGTACTTCTAGGTACTTCTAGGTACTTACAGTGGTACTTCTAGTGGTACTTCTAGGTACTTATTGTGGTACTTACAGTGGTACTTCTAGGTACTTACAGTGGTACTTAGAGGTACTTATTGTGGTACTTACAGTGGTACTTCTAGGTACTTATTGTGATAATTCTAGATACAGCTGTAACTTAGTAATTCAAGGACACTACAGTATTATTCCTATGTAGTAAATGTGGTACTTCTACATACATACATACAGAGGTCATTTGTAGGATTGTTTGACTATAAAACATAAAACAACATTATGTAAAACAAACGTCTTTATTAATATGGAATAAGTAGCACAGAAAGGACAGTATAAATACATTTAATGCATATTTCAAAACAAGTTTCAAGGACAAGGGAAACACTGCAAGAACTAGGTACCCAACCCAAGTAACAAGAATTACACATTACCAGGTACTTACCAGCCAAGTACCAGGTACTTACCAGCCAAGTACCAGGTACTTACCAGCAAGTACCAGGTACTTACCAGCAAGTACCAGGTACTTAACAGCAAGTACCAGGTACTTACCATAGGGACTGGCCCATAATAAGACAAAGGACTTTAACATAAGTACCAGTGATAACACCAGTAATTATACAGTAAGTACCAGGTACTTACCATAGGGACTGGCCCATAATAAGACAAAGGACTTTAACATAAGTACCAGTGATAACACCAGTAATTATATAGTAAGTACCAGGTACTTACCATAGGAACTGGCCCATAATAAGACAAAGGACTTACCCATAAGTACTAGTGATACCAGTAATTATATAGTATACCATGTACTTACCAGCAAGTACCATGTACTTACCAGCAAGTACCAGGTACTTACCATAGGGACTGGCCCATAATAAGACAAAGGACTTTAACATAAGTACCAGTGATAACACCAGTAATTATACAGTAAGTACCAGGTACTTACCATAGGGACTGGCCCATAATAAGACAAAGGACTTTAACATAAGTACCAGTGATAACACCAGTAATTATATAGTAAGTACCAGGTACTTACCATAGGAACTGGCCCATAATAAGACAAAGGACTTACCCATAAGTACTAGTGATACCAGTAATTATATAGTATACCATGTACTTACCAGCAAGTACCAGGTACTTACCAGCAAGTACCAGGTACTTACCAGCAAGTACCAGGTACTTACCAGCAAGTACCAGGTACTTACCAGCAAGTACCAGGTACTTAACAGCAAGTACCAGGTACTTAACAGCAAGTACCAGGTACTTAACAGCAAGTACCAGGTACTTAACAGCAAGTACCAGGTACTTACCAGCAAGTACCAGGTACTTGCTGGTAAGTACATGGTATACTATATAATTACTGGTATCACTAGTACTTATGGGTAAGTCCTTTGTCTTATTATGGGCCAGTTCCTATGGTAAGTACCTGGTACTTACTATATAATTACTGGTGTTATCACTGGTACTTATGTTAAAGTCCTTTGTCTTATTATGGGCCAGTCCCTATGGTAAGTACCTGGTACTTACTGTATAATTACTGGTGTTATCACTGGTACTTATGTTAAAGTCCTTTGTCTTATTATGGGCCAGTCCCTATGGTAAGTACCTGGTACTTGCTGTTAAGTACCTGGTACTTGCTGTTAAGTACCTGGTACTTGCTGGTAAGTACCTGGTACTTGCTGGTAAGTACCTGGTACTTGGCTGGTAAGTACCTGGTAATGTGTAATTCTTGTTACTTGGGTTGGGTACCTAGTTCTTGCAGTGTTTCCCTTGTCCTTGAAACTTGTTTTGAAATATGCATTAAATGTATTTATACTGTCCTTTCTGTGCTACTTATTCCATATTAATAAAGACGTTTGTTTTACATAATGTTGTTTTATGTTTTATAGTCAAACAATCCTACAAATGACCTCTGTATGTATGTATGTAGAAGTACCACATTTACTACATAGGAATAATGCTGTAGTATCCTTGAATTACTAAGTTACAGCTGTATCTAGAATTATCACAATAAGTACCTAGAAGTACCACTGTAAGTACCACAATAAGTACCTAGAAGTACCACTAGAAGTACCACTGTAAGTACCTAGAAGTACCTAGAAGTACCACTGTAAGTACCACTGTAAGTACCACTGTAAGTACCACCGTAAGTACCACCGTAAGTACCACCGTAAGTACCACCGTAAGTACCACCGTAAGTACCACCGTAAGTACCACCGTAAGTACCACCGTAAGTACCACTGTAAGTACCACCGTAAGTACCTAGAAGTACCACTGTAAGTACCACCGTAAGTACCACCGTAAGTACCACCGTAAGTACCACCGTAAGTACCACCGTAAGTACCACCGTAAGTACCACTGTAAGTACCATGGACTTACCGGCCCGTAATGTAAAGTGTTACCAAATTGGGAGACAACAATGTAATCTCCGTATTTACCGGCATGTATTAAAACCCTTTAATAATGGAAACCCCAACATTGCATAGAATGGAATAAACAGACTCTGTTCGCATTGAATCAGACTACACAGAATGGAACAGTGTTGATTTTGCATGAGTTATTTTAAAACCAAAGTAAAATGGCACATTTATAAACATGCATATTTTTAACTCTTCAGACATATTGGTTCTGGTGTTCTCCTGTCTAACGCACGAACAACCCCAAACTGCCGTCTATGTATAGTTTTTCAATGCGGCCCATTGTGCACGCAGGCTTGTAAAATATTGTTGGAAACTTTCTCTTGTGAAGGGTGGCTTTAATTCTGGCATGAGAAAGCAGCCAACTGGTCAATGCACACTGTACCGGGCGTATGTGAGCCGGTTGTTACAGTAGCTATAGCCAACTGTTTGGAATTCAAGTCGAAGCTGCATGTCTGAATGAGAGCTAGTGTTCAGGGGTGCTCATTTTCCAAATTTGAGTTAACTCTTGTCATGCACTTTTCCAGAGACTTGACACTTTGTAAAGAAATCATTTTTATTTTTTTTCTTCTCTCAACCCACGCACTGGTGTTTGCATTGTGTAACATTGGTTTTGAGAGGCACTGAGGAGACTTTTGCTTCGCTTCAGTTTTGCTTGGGCGGGTGTGCGGCGTGTGCAGGTGTGATTTAGACATGCGATATTCAAAAAAACGGGGCGGCTTGAGTTTACCGAGAAACCACAACTTCAAAGAACGACTGCAGTGAATTGAGATCAGATGAAACCGACCTTGGTTCTAAAACTGCCTCCACTTTACATTTTGGGTGCTTGCAGTAATCACATTGGCCATGCACATATCTCCTTTATTTAGTCTGTCTCACCCAGAGCACCAGACTGCTTTATTCTCTCCAACACAACCGGCCTCTGTTCAGTCACAAAAGTCACTCGCATATTTTTGGGGCGAATGATTTCACTGCTGAAGAACTTGTACTGATACAGAGCCCGGCTTCACACAGCATAATGCACAGCAGCCACTATGATGAATGTGCTGGTATATTTAGACAGACATGTGCTTTCAGGGCTAAGCTATTTTAAATGTTAGTAATACTTTATTTGCATGCAATGGGGAAGTGTTCTCTAGATAGTTGCACTAAATTAAATGCACAAAAAACTTGGTTCTTATACCTGGATGATGCAATAATGTTCATAGTTGCGATCATTGTTGTAGAAGGTTCTGATGGGGGCCAAGGACAAAGAGACTATTTTTAGTGCTGCTGTTAGACTTAGATTATTATTGAATGTACAAGTTTGAGAAAGAAAAATATTAATCAATTTGTATCACAGTAGATTAGTTCAAAAGTCTAAACTACTGAATTTCAGTCTTCTGACAAGGTGGTTTTTATGGATCCAGAATGTATAATTGATCAATGCTGCAATGTGTATGTTTATGCTTTTGATAATGGTTCAATCAAATAGTCTTTTGGCGAATTAATTACTTGAGATCACAAAAGGCGAGACTTGACCAAAATTAAGCTTAATGCTGGGGTTCCAAACTTTGAAACTAGAAAATTTGACCTAATGTAAGAAAAAAAAAATAATCCATTACATGCATGTATATTCTGGCCTCTGTCACATCTGCCTAAAAATATTTTATTTAGGCAGAAATGTTGAAACAAGAAGAGCACACTCAATCAGTTCTTAGCCCAAAGAGTCAAATAGTGATTCACATGGCTCTTTCTTAGAAGGATGCTAAAAATTAAAATATCACATGCTGCGTTCTGGTTTGTTCACATCTGCAGACAAATCAGAAAAAATAGGACATATAAGGGTACCCCAGCTTAGTTAATTTGCACATTTCAATGTCATTCTGAAGTAATTAGATACTTGACAAATTAATATGCCTTCTCTCATTGGCTCCTCAGGCAGTGGTCCCATCCAGCTGTGGCAGTTTCTCCTAGAGCTGCTGACCGACAAGTCGTGCCAGTCCTTCATCAGCTGGACAGGAGACGGCTGGGAATTCAAGCTCTCTGACCCCGATGAGGTGAGAGGCCGGGACCCCGAGGGGTGATGGCACACGCACTGGGAGGTCTTAAGTGTTCAGCCAGATGAAAAAGACATCAGCATTTTACAGAAACAAAACAAGCATGTAGTACTAGCGTTTCTAATGCCTTGTCAGCTTTGGTTACAAAAAAAGTACTTGTATTTCACGTAATCATTCAAATACCTAATAGGGCCTCTGTTTATTTTGCCATACTGGTAACTACACTGCAAAAAAGGATCAAATATGAGGTGATAAATGCTTGAATTAAGTGGTTTTTTATCGTAATTTGACTGTTTTAAATTAACATTGGCCAATGCAATTTTCCTTGTCTCATTGGAAATTCTTGTTTTAAGGCAGTCAAAATGTGCTCAAATTTGTATACATTTAGCCAAATTTGAGCAATTTTTGACCTTTTTATTATCACTTTTTACCGTGTATTTTTGCTGTACTTGATGGCGTGGATGTGTGCCTCCCGGTTTATTATTTCATTGTATTTTTTATTTTCAAAAACATGCCCATACAAGACTTCAAACTCAAAAAGACAATAAGTTCAATTGTTGTATGGCGCTGACTCACACTGCAACAACACTGTCCTTCGCTCCATGTGTTCGGCAGTGGGCAGCGTATTGTTCCAGCTCTCCCTATGATGCAATGTGCAATTATAGAGACTTTATTTTAATACAGGCATACTCTTCCTGGAACACGAACATACGCATACAGACCTGTCTCATCTTCTGGTGTGCTTCCAGTGCTTGTTATCTAACCAGGGCTGTAATCATGTGTTGTTTTCAGGTTGCTCGGAGGTGGGGCAAGAGAAAAAACAAGCCCAAGATGAACTACGAGAAGCTCAGCCGTGGTTTGCGCTACTACTATGACAAGAACATCATCCACAAGACGTCTGGGAAACGCTACGTCTACCGCTTTGTGTGTGACTTGAAAAGCCTGCTGGGATACACGCCCGAGGAGCTGCATGCAATGTTGGACGTTAAGCCCGATGCAGATGAGTGAAGAGAGACTTGTGGCCGAGCCAAGTGGACTGGGGTCTCATTAAGTGGTCTTAATAAACTGTTTTAGGGACCAAAATATTTTATATCGACTAACTGCGACTGTCCACTCTGAGCACTTGAATGTCAGAGCTCGTTTTAAACAGAAGGCACAAGGCGAATGTGCCGTATAACCCTGTTGCATTGGGAGGGAATGTATGGCATACTGTAAACTGGTGACATTTAGCAGCTCACAGCAGACGGGTAGAGTTCAGGTTCTTGTTTTATCTTAATGGCACAGCAAGGCAAAGTGGAATGACCTTAGTGCATAAAGGAAAAAAAATGCAGAGAAAAAAATTGGACTTACAGTTGTAGCAGCAGAAAGCAGGTTGAAACTTTCCACTCTGAATGTTTGCCAAAATGTCTAAACAGAAGTGAAGAAGGAATAATGTCATATTTAAATACAGTGAAGCACAATTTTATGTTTAACAAAGAGAGTGTTTTAACTCGGACCAAAAATATGTTGGTTTTTGTCCTAGATTTTTGCCAGTATCATGTTGTCTTAATGTAATAGTATGCCAGGCATATACTGGAAAGTGTTTTATTTTCTTATCTACCTGTCACAGAAGGTATTTTCAAACCAAATCAAGTCTAGCTCTGAATGGCTGTAGCTGCAGCATATTCTGTTGACCTTGTGCTCGCGGGCTTGAGGGCTGAGCCACATTACTCATAGTAAGAGTCTGAACGACTGAAAGTAGCCGTTACTCCCCTCAGTACAAGCTTTCACCTCATATCGTGACTGAAACAAATGCATTTTGCATTTACCATCAGTATTAGTAAACTATAGACAATCTAAGACTCAGAAGCCTTTGGTAGGACTTGTTTTATATGCAGTAAAGCTATATTATTAATGTCACTTCACTGTTGTTTTAGATGTGTTTTAGAGATATGCCAGATGACTTTGAACCGGTTCAGTATATATGCAGTTTTGACGTTGTCCCAGGATGGTATGAAGAAGAGCTACAGATGGTTTGTGGATGGAAGTCATGGAGAGGAAGATGTTTCGGTGAGGACCACGGGAGAATGACAAAGTTGGAAAAGTTGGCATATATTGAACGTTTGCATCAAATGGGTTAAATGTCTGTGGGGTGGAGCTTTAAAGCGAAAAAAAAGTTCAAACATCATGTGTTCGTTTTGTTTGTGACTGAATGTTTATTCCATACATAAAGGAAAAGTGGTATGGCTTGCCTTATGGGAATTTCCAAAACAGAATTTTGTACAATGTGATTGTTTGCCATGGCTAACTGTTACCCATATGGATCAAAATAGCTTGTGTGTTTGTACAGACCACATTTCACAAAGCTGTATTGAGACCAAGATTGCGCAAATAAGCAAGGCACAAAGCAGAATAATAACCAAAATTCTTGTGAGGTCTCGGTGAAAGTTGACATTTCTTTGTGAGTACTGTTAAAATGAGACTTGGAAAAGTTGACCTGTAAATATGTGTGATGCTTAATTTGTCTATAATTAATTATGAAACGGGCCAATTGAATCTTCATTAGACTTTTTGGCACCACTGTACTTGAGGTTATGCCACACACTGTCTTATTCCTTTTGTTCTTATGTGTTTTTGTTCTTAAGAGCTTTGCCATATTTAAATGGTTAATGCCATGGAGGCCATCAGGTTTGATTCTCCTCATCAGTTTGTGCACAAAGTGTCCAATATTTGACAATTTCTGTTAAATCTTTTGAGTATCTCTTTTGAAATATCATGAAATGTATACATATTCCGTGTCACGGCGTAGCCCTCGCTGCAGGTCATTTGCTTTACTCGTTAGTTTGTGGCATATGCATATCCCAGAATGGATTGTGAAGGAAGAATTTTTAGATTATTTTTCTTTTGAATATTTTATAGTGTTTTGTATTTTTGTTACGAGATAATTTTTATTGTATGAGTTTGCAAACATTTGAATATGTTCAATAATTTATATTTTATAAACGACGAGATGCAGACAGCTGGTGCTTTCATGGGAATTTCAAAAAGGTAGCGCAAGACAACCTAATGTAGCGATGTGTTCATTTTTTTTAATTTTGTTTTTTTTATTCATTTTTTATAGTAAATTCAACCTGTCTGCTATAGAGAGAAGGCTGATGCTGGCCCATCAATGATTTCTGCTGGAAAGTTTTATAAACTGTAGCTTCTATTTCTAAAATGTACTTAATGTACTTCAAATGTTATGAAATATATGTGAAGAAAGAATTTTTAATTGTGTGTCATTTTCTCATTTCTTGAATCACAAAACTGTCACTGGTGTTCCAAGGGTTGACAATATTAATATGTACTTTACATTTGTCAGCATGAACAAATGTGTATTTATAAAGGTGATGTCAACAATAGTAAGAGCAAAAACACATCTTTATTTGAATAGCAGTTTCTAAACGGGCTGCACAGTCAGCATAAAACTATACAATTTGCATAGTTCGTAAGTCGTTATATAAAATATTAAGAACTACCGGATGAATGTAAAGCAGAAAGTACACAAAGATAAAACAATTAAGGAAAAAGTAGAACATTAAAATACAGCATGTGAAGTTTAAAGCTGACACTTAAAAGAAGGCAATTAGATCATTTTTGTAGAGCACAGTTCATACACAAGGCAAAATCATAAATAATTGGAATACATTAAAAAGAGTGACGATAAAATCCTTCAGTTGTATGCACAGCTACATACACCTGTTTTTAACCAGGATTGAAACATTGTCAGATAAGCCTGTCTCACATTTTCAGGAAGACTGTTTTTTCAGGAAGACCAAATCTAGCATGCTGCCTCCCCATGTCTATTCTGACTCTGTGCACCAGCAGGAGACCAGATTAAAGAGTGGATCTCCGGGGACAGGTCCACAACACTACCAAGTACAGAAACAGATGTATCTCTCAGATTCAAGTTTAAAGCATACATTGTATCCAGTGAAAACCCTTGACCGATTCTCGCGTCCCGATGTGTCACACGTTTCAGACAGACGTGCATTGTACAAAACGGCCACATTGTTTCTTCAAAGGCTCGGTTTTTCTTTGAACGTCTTACAGGCCGTGGTGCGTTTGCAGCAATGCGGTGACGTCACAGTGGGAGCACACTGCGGTTCATTCATGGCTCCAAACTCGGCCTCAATATAAATTCCATTGTAGAAAGAAAACACAGCAGTATGGCGGGCTGCCCTGACTGCACAGCTGTTTGGCTCGGAGGCTATATACTACAGAAACATGTGAATAGAACTTCTCCATTAGACTGATAAAACACACACACACACACACACACACACACACACACACACACACACACATGTTTGCAACGTGCACACATGAGGACTTGTGGTGGTGTTGGAGGCAGAGGGCAGGCTGAGGTTACCCAGGTCCAAGCTCCACGCTCCAGTCTGCGGCTGATCCACTCCAGACCTGATCCCTTGCAGCGCTCTTTAAATACTCATCAGACTGTGTGCATGTTCCAAGAGTCGAACAAATCCAAACCTTCAGTATACTACTCGTACCCCTGCACTTCTAATCCAAACAAAAGCACCCCACTTGTAAATACTATCTTTTCTTCTGGAATATTGTGTTAAAAGACAGTAGACAGACCCACAGTTGAATTAGACTTTTCTTTTCTTTTCTTTTTTTACGTGGTGTGACCTGAACAGTCGTTAGGGGCTGTACCCAGGCACTTGAAAATGGCTCATTTGTCTGAATTCAAACCTAAATATTTAACTAAACGATCGTTCGAAACCACGTCTGTCTGTGCCTGTAGTCTTAACACAACTTTGAGAGAGATAAAATGCCACAGACCCAAGGTTAGAAGAAGCTTTAAACAAGCTGTTATTTCACTATGTAAGTCAAGTGTGTACCGTAAATTACCTTCACTTCACTACTTTTGTAAGAGAGGCCTTCAAAACCAGCCAACGTAATTTATTTTATTATCTTTTTATTTGCTTATTAAGAGAAAATTATATAAAAAAAGAAAGATAAATCATTAAACAACTGGATTGGCCACATGCCTGGATTTAAAATGAAACTAAAAATAAAATATGGCTATATAAGTGTGTGTGTGTTTTTTTTTTCATGATTTTGAATGGCCGTGTAGAACATTTTAGCAGATTGTGCTGGATTTGTGTTCTCTTTGCTAAACCCATGTAGATTTCCTCACATTTCCAACCTTTTTCAAATGGAGCTCCTCTGACGCACAGAACCAAGCTGCTGGTTCCATTACGCAGATGAGTTGTGAAATATGACCACTTTCTCCCCGAAGACTCCTCTGTCCCCAGGGATTTCCTCTGGCCAGAAGTCCCTGTTTAGGACAGTTTTAATCAGAATCAGAATCATTTTTATTGCCACGTAAGTAACAGGAGGTCACAGACTAGGAAATTGCTTTGGCTCAGTGCAACAGTCAAAAAGAGATAATAAAAAACACTTCTAAAGAATAAATTTAAATTTAAAATAGAGTTACAGTTACTATTTACAATATACAAGTGCACATGGTGCACACAATGTAAGGTGACAGCAGTACAGTGAAGTAAAGTGACGTATGATGGGCAGTAAAGTGACTTTATAAAGGGCGGGGGGACAGGTTAAGAAGTGTTCAAGAGTCCAACAGCAGAGGGGAAGAAACTGTTCTTGTGGCGGGAGGTTCTAGTCCTGATGGACCGCAGTCTCCTGCCTGAGGGGAGTGGTTGGAATAGTCCATGTGCAGGGTGAGAGGGGTCGGCTGTGATACGACCAGCCCGGCCTCGAGCTCGGGCGACGTACAGGTCCTGCAGCGATGGAAGGCTGCGGCCGATCACTTCCTCTGCAGAGCGCACAATGCGCTGTAGTCTCTGCTTGTCCCTGACTGTGGCTCCAGCGAACCACACGGTGATGGAGGAGGTGAGGATGGACTCGATGATGGCCGTGTAGAACTGCAGCAACATCTGTGCAGGCAGCTTGGCTTTCCTGAGCTGCCGCAGGAAGTACATCCTCTGCTGGGCCTTCTTGATGAG